AAGCCTGCGGCCGGGTTTATTGCTGTCGTTTGGCGCCCTCGTCTGTTTTCTTAAAGCCTGTAACAGGGCGAGCACCTTTCCCCCTGCTCCTCGGAAAACCGCAGCCGAGATACCACATCTCCGAGGCACTCGTGTGTGCACACAAGCAAGCCGGCACAACTTCAGACTCCAGAACTGTGACTGCGCCACTAAAAAGGAGGGAACGCTTTTTATGTTATTCGGAGCGGGTGGGAAAGACTATATGAAAAGTCTCAATGTGCGAAAAATAAGTTAAACGCAAGTGCGGCTGTGAATGATCTTTATTAGTGTTATTTTATATTTTACACCTTTTAAATAATACTGATACCTTAGGTTATGTACAATGTATCTTAAAACATAGCTACATTCATATGCAAGGGAAATAACATGTCATAAAAGACGTTAATAATCTTACACTAAGTAGATGTGAGGTAACAAAAACGTTCCCCGCCATGCAGTTAATCAGTTCACCCCAAACCGTCAACCCACTAATAAACTAGTCATCTGGTATTTATATTCCCAGCAAACTATACGCATTTACTGCACCGATGTTTATCGGGTTTGGTTTTGTTTCGGGGTTTTGTTTTTTTTTTTCAAAAACAACAGCAGAGCCTAAAGACCTTTCGGCGTATGTTTATAGGTCTTCAAAACCAACAGCTCAGCCTGAAGAACCTCCGGCATTACAGTGACATTAGTGGGCAAAGGGGGAGGAAGTTACAGAGACCGCCGAAATATGCGAGGTTTTGTTAGACGCTGTTTACTCAGTTGTTCTTGTAAGTTTAAAGAGCTGCTTAGGCCTATGGCCAAACTTCTTTTCATTTTTACCTTGAAAGTTATTACTCGAGACATCAAAGAGTATTTCAGTGTTCGTTTATTAAATCTGAGCAGGGAAAAAGAGGTCACGCAACTTAATTGAAATGAAGTTCGTATTAAGTCAGCCAAACAACATCTCGGCCAGCTTTTCACCACTCAGAGCGTGCTTGGGAAGACGGACGGGAATACCTGCTTCCTCCTCCTCGGCGGGGCAGGCTGCCAACAGGGGCCCCGGGCGGCGCGCAGCG